AATACATGTAATTTAGTGCTAGTTCACTTTAATTTATTATTAATATTTTCTGTGCGGGAAAATGCTGTCACCTTTAATGGTCAGTTTCGGGGCGGGAAAATACGAAGGCGCTGATTGGGATAATATCACAATAACAAGCCAACCCTGTGTTGTCTGTAGGCCTACGCCTTATTAAAAAATTTAAAAGAGCGATTGACTGCGAGTTTAAATACCACGCAATATATTAAATTGGTAAGAGATTTTATGTCTTATAAAAGTAAGTTAGTAGATTGATACGAGTCGGGCGTTGCAAATACAGATGACAGAACCATGCGTATACTGGCATTACAACTATTTACTATTAGGTTAGTTAGTAGTTAAAATGACAAGTGTTTCAAAAGCATTTAATCACGCATTGGCTATCATAACAACTGTTGCGTTCACTGTATAGGGTCGTTTAGCGTTAGACTAACGATTTTCTATCGCTCACGACATACTCAGAAGAAGGGTGGGAAGTTTGGATAGTATGGTAGATAATATAGCCTATATATGGACCTACTGTAGCAATTTAGAAATGTACACGATGTTGAATATCATTATAATGGATTACACGGTCCATAATGTTATGAGTCTGACTGTCATGGGTAAATGAATTTATTATTATTATTATTATATATGATAGCTTATATAATCGTAAGTGTATTGAATGATAGTATTATTAGGCAGGGCCATAGAGCCTGTTACTATGCAATATCTAACTATCTACTGCTGAGGTACTAGACTAGTGGTTTAACTGTTAGTATAAATATGATAATTAGAGATAAAGATGATAAATATCATCATTAGTCATCATCATATCAGCATCATCATCAAATCATCAGATAAAAATCATAAGATATCAAATTATGATCATTATTGATGATACATTATATATTTTATGATTATAGCATTAACATTTATGTGCCAGGGTTAGTAGGCTCATTGACTATTATATTGTACAATTAATACTTTACACAATGTGTATAGATTCCAATTAATTGCTGACTAGAGAATTAAAACAAAAAAATTCGCTCATGTTATTAATTACTAGCTTATAAACGTGGTTAAATTATAACACCACTAGCACTACTACTATATTATAGCATTACAAAAAAATCTGTCGGTACTACAACATATGCGCATAGCTATGCATCATTCTCATTGGCATACGATCATGACATTAACGTCACTTCTAATTATAATAACAGATTAAGTTGCTTCGCCATATGTGTATATTATTTTGATCCGTTATACAATGTCTTTAGGATTGTGTCCCGATCTTAAAGGTGCTCAACAAACGAAGATCGTGTTAAGTGGTGACACCAGAAAGCATGGTAGTAGACGTAAAATTGATTATAGATAGCAAGTGCGATAACAATACGATTTGCTGGAAAACTACACTATTAAATTTACAATGTATTAAATGTAATTATTTAATATACATGTTATTCTAGTTAGTCACTGAAGATTATTCATTTATTTATTGCTTCTAATGCAGTAGATGACATCATGATTACATAATGCTGGGCGACAAGTAAACTGCATGACGCGACGCTCTCCTTTACTGTCTGCCTCGCTATGTTATGGAATCGTGAAGCTGCAATCAAAACAGGGGCCTTACTATCTTGAGTAGTTTACTGACCATCACCGCTGCCCCCACCCCACCGCAGCTCCTCCTGACCACCGCCGCTGCCCCCTGCTCCTACTGACCACTGTCCCGCTCCCGTCCCGTAAGCAATCAATTAGGATCGGAGCTCAGGTGAGCCACTTACGCGTCACCAATCGGGCCGGCCTGCTCCGTACCTTTGGTCTCGCCGATGGCGGCTTTGTGCGGCCGGCAAACTTCATTACGTAATTACGTAACAACGTCGCGCGCGGTTTACGGCACCAATCGAATGAGTTTACCTGCGCATGCATACCTTGCCTACTTGACTCGCCGAAGTGCAGGTGGTTAATAGTGTTAGAGCATAAAGCTGAGTGGACGAGGCAGCAGGCAGGCAGGCAGGCCACCGTGTGTGTCCGTGGCGGCCTTCCAAACACCGGCTAGCATCGCTGGACACGGTCGCGCTGGATTGATTGGTCCTAAAGTAATAAAAACCCCTCGTTATTATGCAGTGAGGACAAGTGTGAAAGGGGAGTCATCTTTCTGTTTTGCGCCTGCCCCTGTCGTCTTGATGCGAATGCAATACACAATGAGCGACCGCGTCCGGCTGCGATGGGCGTGAAGAAACTTCTAGCGCATGCGCACAATAGCAACCCTCGGAATGTTACACGAGTCGGCATGATTCTAGCAGCGTTAATGACGGAGAGACCAGTTGGTCGCGGACAGTTAATGAATGTAATTAGACGTCGTCTGATAAAACATCACTACATTATAAAATTTAATTATTAAAAATTAAATCGCGTGTATGTATGTGTTGTTCCGCGTAACGTGCAATATTGTTACTTCCATCTATTGATCTATCGTTGCAATAGGTACAGCTCCTCTGCCGGAACATGTCAGACGTTTAAGTCAAAGTTGACCCTCGTTTACGCGTCCTGTCTTGCCTTACGTCAATCGATTTAGTTTCCCCATATTTTAGTTCTCTCTCCTCTTTCCATTAACCCTTCTCTCTCTTGCTAGCTCGCTGTCTGTCCATTTACTCATTTTTTCGCCCGTCCCTCAGTTCCTCCCACATTCCATCACTCCCCCTCTCTCTCCCCCTTGATATATATTATATATAATCAGGATAAAAATAATACATGTATAATAACAAAGAGCTTATAATGATCTCTTTGATAATAATATATATGTATCAAGAATAATAACTCGTGTTACTTGAATAAATAATTCACGCTTTCTTTACGTTTTAAATCGTTATACTAATGACACCGTATGGAGAGATATACACCTATCAAATCTTATAGGAGTTCAAACTCAAGTATTCTACAATATCTACGCGCATGTGCACGCACACACACACGCACGTACGCACACACACGCACGTACGCACACACACACGCACACACACGCGCACGTGCGTACACACACACGCGCGCACACACACCCCAACGCACGCACGCACGCGCACACGCATCATTCAGTTGACGACTATTTCTGCACCTCGGTGCACCGCGCGCGGGCTTAAGGACCACCACACATATATAACACCATTATATATATATATATATATATATATATATATATATATAGTGTAGTGTAGTGTGTGTGTGTGTGTATGTGTGTGTGTGTGTGTGTGTGTGTGTGTGTGTGTGTCGCGTGCGTGCGTGCGTGCGTGCGTGCGTTGCGTGCGTGCGTGTGTGTGTATGTGTGGGTGTGTATGTGTGTGTGTGTGTGTGTGTGTGTGTGTGTGTGGTTGTTGTTGTGTGTGTGTGTGTGTGTGTGTGTGTGTGTGTGTGTGTGTGTGTGTGTGTGTGTGCTTGCACAGGAGCGTGCAGTGTTGGCTACAATTAGCCAGCCTGTCAACGAGATGTCTTTGTGAACGAGGCGCGCTGCGCTCGGGCTGTTGTTAGGAACGTTTGACGTGCGCGTGAGAACAGTTGTTCCGTAAACGTATTGCTAATGTGCATAATCCCTCTCCTAATCTGTTTGTCAGCGATTGTGATTGAAATCAGAGCGGCCGAATGCTTACCACAACAAGAAAGCTAAAGAAAGATGACCGAGGTTGAATGATGCAGAGCACGGGAATGCATCGAAGTGACAAACAGGTGGTGTTGAAGAGAAACGGCCATATAATAGAGAAAGTGGGTAGCAGAAGATCAAGAGGGCAAGATAGCGAACAAGATATATATATATATATTTATCTTGCTATATATCAAGAGCTGATAATAATTCTTATTAGCTCTTGATATTATTAGGTATATTATTAGCTCTTGATATATATATATATATATATATATATATATATATTACGATTATATATATAATACGGGCATTATGAACGTCTTGTCTCCCTATCACCCACAACTACATGTAGGCAAAGCATCGCCGCGTGGATGTCCACTTAATCTGGACACGCTCGAACCGGCGGCTCAGTTGCCGCGGCGTTCGCTTTACTCGATAACAAACACAAATCAGTTCGTCAAACACAATATTGCATTATCCGCTGCTGCGCCCTTTGAGGTTCCCGCTTCGCCGGCGCTTTGAAACTGTCACCTCCCCGCGGACACGCTCGAGCTGTAGAGGGATAAGTACGTCAGCATATTAAATACAAGGACAATCTGTACATCTGGCGCTAAATTGATAGAGTTACGGGCCGAGGAAAAGATTGGTTGTAAAACTTTATATAAATTAGATGCAATAAATAGAAAGATAGTTTTGGAGCAGGCGTTGTGTCGTGAGTAGATATATGGTGGGGGGAGATAAAGTGTCGTTGTCTTAGTTCGTTTAGTTGACGTTTCTTCATAATGCTGACGCCCGTTTGTTGTAAATAAAAAGAAATTTACTATGCATGCTTGCGTGTAGGTGGATGCACTCGCAGTCGCGCGTATAAACAAAACGTACTGGCACAAGATGAAAAACGACAAAGAGCCATCCGGGAGCCATCCGTGATTGAACTTCACGTTGGAAATTATAAAGTGAAATTGACAGCGTAAATTTCGTAGAGCATTTAGAAGCATAATTAACCGCTCAAAAAATGGAAATAATATATAATGCGTAGAACAAAATTTTTAATAATTAAATCGGTCAATAGGTAGCGCGCATAGAAGCACCTGAAATAAACTGAAACGGGAAAATGTTAGAGGAGAATACATGTTTTTTAGCACATATTCCCACGCTGCTGACGAAATAATAATGTAATTCATGCTAGTCAACTTTAATTTATTATTAATCTTTCTGTGGCGGGAAAATGCTGTCACCTTAATGGTCAGTTCAGGGGCGGGAAAAATACGAAGCGCTGATTGGATAATATCACAATAACAAGCCACACCGCTGTGTTTGTCTGCTACGCACTTATTAAAAATTTAAAAGGCGATTGACTGCGTTTAAATACACGGATATATTAAATTGGTAAGATATTTATGACTTATAAAAGTAGTTAGTAGATTGATTACGAGTCGGACGTTGCAAATACAGATGCAGAAACCATGGGCTACTGCATACAACTATTACTATTACTAGTTAGTAGTTAAATGACAACGTGTTTACAAAAGCTTTAAATCACGATTTGCTATCATAACAAACTCCGTTTCACTTTCAGGCGTATGCGTTAGACTAATACGATGTTCTACGCTCACGACATACTGCAGAAGAAGGGTGGGAAGTTTGGCATAGTATGGTAAGCATAATATAGCCTATACTATAGGCCCTACTGTAGCAATTTAAGAAATGTCAACGATGTCATAATAATCATTATAATGCATTACCCGGTACCATAATGTATGAGTCTGACTGTATGGGTATAATGATTTATATATATATATATTATATATATGATACTTATATAATCATAATGTATGAAATGATAGTCCATTATTAGGCAGGCCTATAGACCCTGTTACTACTGCAATACTACTACTACTACTGCTGGTACTAGACTAAGTGTTTAACTGTTAGTATAAAATATGATACATTAGATGATAAAAGATGATAAATTATCATCATGATAGTCATCATCATATCATCATCATCATCAAAACATCATCATGATAAAAAATCATAAAAGATGATAAATTATGATACATTATTATGATACATTATAATTTATATATAGCATTAACCGATTTATGTGCCCAGGGTTTAGTAGGCCTATTGACTATTATATTGTACAATGTACATACTTTACACACATGTATAGACCCAATTAATTGCTGATCTAGGAATTAAAAAAAAAACATTCCTCATGTATATTAAATTAACTAGTATAAACAGTGTTTAAATTATAACACCACTAGGCACTACTACTACTAGCATTACAAAATAAAATCTGATACCGTACTACAACATATGGCATAGCTAATCTCATCATCATCATGGCATCGATCATGACATTAACTGTCACTTCTATTATAATAACAATTAATTGTATCGCATATGTGAATTATTATTGATCCGTTATACAATGTCTTCAGGATTGCTGCTACCCGATCTATAAAGGTGCTCAACAAACGAGACGTTGTAAGTGTGAACATCCCAAAAGCATGGTATGTACCGTAAAATTGATCTAATACAAGTGCGATACACAATACGATTTGCTGGGAACTAATATTAATTTAAATTATTAAATGTAATCATTTAATTACATGTTAATTCTATTAGTCACTGAAATTATTCATTTATTTATTGCTTCTAATTGCAGTGATGACATCATAGATTACATAATGGTGCGACACGGTAAACTGCATGACCGCAGACGCTTCTCTCTTTACCTGTCTGCTCAGCTCATGTATGGAATCGTGAAGCTGCATCAAAAACAGGGCCTCTACTATCTTAGTAGGTTTATCGTAGTATATTTATTATGTCTATTTAAGCCACATGTAGGCTAGCCGCAAGTTACCTTCTTGCTTCTCACCACGTGGCGATGTGACGTTCCTACAACGTTAAACATAGAGCCTGGGCAGACTACATGTAGGCTGATGGACCACAGTTTGCATGTGTGTATAGTTATAGTCGGAGGCAAATTCAGGATTTGAAGAAAGTGGGTGGCATGAGAGCAAAGACGTTATACTGGCAATAACAATTAAAGCATGCATGGGCCTGCTCCAACAGTCATATTATTCATCTAGAGAGAAACGACAAATCAGACTGTAAATAGTAGCTGTGAAGCCTGTGTTATTGTTATTTCAGGTGATACAATGGAATATATCAGGAACTTAAACCTACTAAGTGCTCAAACCAGTCTAAGGTACATTGACATGAGCCCATCAAAGGATCTCCAAGTGCTCAGGTAAGATATAAACATCTTATGTGAATTTAAATACAATTGGTGCAAAGTTAAGCATATTTGTTACTGCATTGTATATATACACATATAAAATCGTTGTTACAGAATAGTATATTTGAAAGATGTATTCACTGATCATCAAATAAAAATCACTTCATCATGTCTTTATAGTCTGATATCATTTATGATTATTGCAGAAGAACTTATTATGACGTTGATTGAAATCTATTACCTGTTACAGGACATTCGACACGGACTGGGGCAACCCATGTTTCGGACAACTTGGCGGTGTTTCAGATTCATTGTTTCAGTACAGTGATGAGGTAGCAGAAATGATAGATATCACGTATTACACTCAAAATGAAAAGATAACTTTACTCTGATCTTGTCTATTTTTTTCATCACACTATATCATATATTATTTTCAGGACTTTTTCGTAATCAGAAGGACTCCGATTTCCCCACCACTGAGTCCTCTGTTAGGCAGCTTGGAGATGCAGCGTCCAGGTTAGATATTTATAGTATCCAGGTATAACTTCGCCTGAGGATGGAGCAGATACAACATGACACTATCACTGCTGCTTTACCTTGCCATGGTGTAATTCAGAATTAGCTGTTCAAGCCAAGCACGCTAGTAAATAATGCACGCACGCACACAAAGCATTATGTATGTGTATTCTACATATTTATATAGATGATATGCTGACTGGTTCCCCTCACACTGTCAGCAGCCGTGGTGACATCCTGATCCAAGAGGATCCAGTCTCAGATGTTAGGAGGGAGGAACTAGCTGTAAGCACCGTTTCCCATGCTGCAAACCCTAAAATAGCATAGATATATAAATCTATCTATCTATCTATCTATCTATTTATATATAAGTATAAATATTGTTTATATAATCAGTGTAATGATGACAATTACAGGCAGTGATGGACGACTTGCCTCCACTTGATCATGAAGCCTTGGAGAGGCTGAGCCATGCGGAGAGCGAGCTGAAAATGACTGATGCACTTCTCTTCCACGACGACGTTTCTTCTGCACTAAATGAGAGGTATCGCTCAATATGCATGTATAGCTCTTCAGTTGTGTTGCAGTGCTGCTGTGAAATTGCTGTTTTCTAGGGACTGGTGGCATAAAGATATATAGCAGACACTACGATTACTGCACGTTGCAATATAATTGCATCATACTGAATATAATAGTTGCATGGACATACTCCTTTACAAACTAAATACATTCATGCATTCCTTCCTTACCTGTTCTTTGGAAGAGTCGAGGAGGATGCCGGTACACGTCAACCCACTACAGATCCAGAACAAGAAGATACTGTTCTAGAGATTGACCCCAAAACAGGAGACTTGATTAACTCCCTCATAGAGACTCCGATCGTTCCTTCTGCCGTTGAGCCACGGCATCTCCCAGTGCAAAGAAGAAGTAGAAGTGATACTAAGAGCCCGCGATCACAAAGGAAGAGGGTGGGTTACCCCACAGCTAGCTTTAATCTGCTGCTTGTGTGATAATGATTACAGCTGCATAGAAGCTAATGCTGATTAGCAGTGATATCAACAATAATGTTAAAGGTCGTCAATTTTATCATTATTATTTCTATGCACATATTTACATGTAAAAATCCATGTTGTCTGCGAATATATACTATATGATCCTCTCTTTCAATATACTAATTTTGACCCTATTGCTACGGAATATAGTAATGTTTTACTTTCATTAGGGAAGACCTGAGAGGTTTGACAGCTTGGAGATCGACAGTCTTGATTTAGCAGATGTTCCACAGAAAAGAAGAGCTGCAAGGCGCCTGAGATTTGTTGACGGGTCAACGCAGTTAAGTCGGGAACAGTTGAGAAGAAACATGAACAACACATCAGACACAATGAGACCACTTGACGTAAGTGCTAATGAACATGAAACGGATAGACTGGGCTGGAGTGTATCAATAAATGCCCTCCTAATATGGCAGTCCTTATAATAAATGTATAGTACGTACGTACAATATGTACAAATAATCTAAGCAATTTATTGTTAGGTGTTACTATATATATATATATATATATATATATATATATATATATATATATATATATATAAAAGTTGGGTCAAAGTCCCTAGAGGAAAGTTTGGCTTTGGGATGTGGTAGCAAATTTGCTGTATACAGTAATTATAGGTACCGTCTGATACTCCATAAATATAACTGTTTGTCGTGTGTACGTAATCATTACTGGATGTACATTATGCTTAATTGTTTCTTGGAAAGAATATAAATAATCATAAATAAATAAACTATGTATGCTTTATTGTAGACCATTTACCCAAGCAGACAAGAGTCAGCAGCAGATCTCTTTAGCAAGCCAGGATTGAGAGGTATATGCGTGTAAACTAATGTTTATTTTAAACTCACATACAAGATATACCAGCTAGACAATTCTAAATATTTTAAGTTACACCATTATCAGTTTTGACAATGATGCAACGGCTCTATACCCTCAGTTAGATGACAGTGTTACGGACACTGATATCAGGCATTTCTCACCCACATCCATGTCACTGACATTAAAAACGTGCACATTAACGATATTCTCATCGACAATAACCTTGTATCCTACAATATCTCGGTGTGTTTTGCATATGCAGATAGGTATACGTGCTTTTTAGCATAGATCGAGCAGGATATGGGAGGTGAGATTCTATAGCATGCTAATACTAAAGCATTCTCTCGGTCCATACAGGCCTGCAGCGGGAGCCACATTTGTCACTCTGGAGACGAAACGCTTTCACGGAACAGATGTCAGAACGTGACGAATCAGATTCCGAAAATGACAAGAACATTCCCTATACGATTCGAGATATGCTAAGACAACTGGCACGTCAATTATATGATAGAAATCGCAGCGACATCAATAATAATTTTATTATAGACCGAGGAGTAATTCATCCATCAATTGTGATGCATTTAAATGTAGAAATTTCTAGTTGCAAAAATAATGAGTATTTTAACTTGTTTTCCATGCAGCAGCAAAATGATGAAAGTTCTTCAGTTGTTGAAGAACGTCGTGAGGATTCCACACTAGAAAGCACTTCTGCACAAGACCAACCACTCACTAGCACAGCCATTAAGGTTTCTAAAGTATTTCTCTCATATGATTTACATGCATGATATGAGATACCATGCATGCACCAAACATATTAAGATATGGCATAATATTTGAAAGATATGCTGCTAGCACTATTTCCCAGCACATTGGTGCACTGGCCAGTGCATCGATATTTCCACGAGCCCATCAATCTATAACATTTAGATTGATATGACCTTTTTAAATGATTGACGTCTGCTATCCAGACAGAACATTAGATACATGAATGACTAACAACACGATTTGGGTGTGTACAAATGAACGTTATATATGTTATTTTGTAATCGATCACAGGCATCCAGTGGCAAAAGAAAGAGGAGTATTGATAGTGACGATCCAGAACAGCAAAGAGACCGCTCAAATACTAACGAATCGAGTAGTAATCTTCCAGTGACAAGTTTCCAGCACCTATCAGGAATCCAAAGCAGTAAGTAGAATGATAAAAAATGCTAAGCGCATTACCGAAAATTAATAGGCAAGTGCGTATGTAGGTGCGTACGTGTTGCCTACAAAACTGTGTTGATCCAGTATTTCCCAATTTCTTTATTTATGCAGATTTAAAATTATCAAGAAACTTGTTGGCTCAGATAGAATTTTCACATTTTATGAGGTGAAACTATCGACGTTTGGGTATATAGATGAGATGTTATTGTTACCTACAAAACTAAGCATGAGGTCAAATGAAAACTTAAATAATCTGATGACATTGATGGATTTCTTCATCTGTAAATTTGGAATGTTTGTCATGTTTTCTACTGCAGTGCACGAGGATAGTCGTATTTCTGACAGACAGACAAGCGCAGCAAGCCGAAATATAGAATCGATCACTGAAAGCTTAAACAGGTAATGATTGAGATTACATGCAACACTTTCATCATGGATACAAGTTGAGATGTTGCTGAAACAGTGAAGCAATCCAGGAACAATAGAAGAACGTGTACTGCCTAAAACGTGTATATTGCAAAGATTACATACAACATTTTAATTTTGAATACAATTTAGAATTAAGTTGCTGAAACAGTGAAGAAATGCAGGAACAATAGAAGAATGTGTACTGCCTAAAACGTGTATTTTACAAAGAGGTTTTTTGTGTTAGGCGTGCGGATGTCGCCATCCTGGAGGAGCCTGAGTTAGAGCAGCAGCTTCAGCCTGGTGAGTCAGAACAACTTGTCAACCTGTAACCACCAGCAGTGATACTCGCATATGGAAAACCTTTATTCGAGAATTTATATTAATGGGATTTTTAGAGGCCAATGTTTTTAGTTATTGATAGGTTCTTGACAAGTTCTTGGTGGTTATTGACAAATGTATTGATAAGCAGAGCATGCAGTTGATGTGAAACCATATCATGTACATAGGTAGTAGAATAACTGCAATGGATCAGATATCTTCATATCGGCTGTTAACAGGTCTGTGGTAGTGAAATTAATAACTGAGTTTCTATATTATTCTTGTACATAGAGCACATGGAGAATCCTCCAATATACGTGGAAGAGCCAAGAGAAGTGCCTGCTGAGATGGAAATACCAGCGCAAGCTCGGATAACACCTGCTCACGTGTACAGGTATCACCTATAGCTGATACATTCACTCTATACACCTGCTCACGTGTACAGGTATCACCTATAGCTGATACATTCACTCTATACTGCTGTTCACGTGTACAGGTATCACCTATAGCTGATACATTCACTCTATACTGCTGTTCACGTGTACAGGTATCACCTATAGCTGATACATTCACTCTATACTGCTGCTCACGTGTACAGGTATCACCTATTGCTGATACATTCACTCTATACTGCTATATACTATATCTAACTGTTGAGTATTTTTAGTCCATATTAGCCAATGGTAATTATCGTTAATGACAAGCCATGGACCGGATGTGCTACGATAATCACTCCATATTATTGTTTTTTGTTTGCATAGAAAATTAGAGGAACTACTTCAAGGGGATGCTAGCCTGGAGATTCCATTCAGAATTCTGGTGCCAGTTGACATGCCCAAATGGGTGGCTGCAAAATACTTCTACTGTTGTCTCGGTCAGTACAGTTTCCTGTATCAGGATGCAATTAAGTTGTGCTGCTTAGTATTTACACTTTAACACAGTTCATAGGCAGGCGATTCGATAGCTTTTAGTAACTCTAACGAGCAAAGATTGCAATATAATAGATTTTACAATTATTTTCAGGTAAATTGTGCACATCTTTATACTAAATGCGATTTTCCCAAGTTGTAATGTATAGTTATAGTACAAACAACAATTAATGGCTTTGTACTGAACATAAATTAACCTCTGAGTAAACAAGTAGAGCTTATAGGCTCATATATAGTTTATAAACTGATTAATGTGAGCAAAGCCGATACAGTCTGATAAACTACTGGGCATGCACATATATATGGTAAACAAAAACTAGCAGTAGACAGAACATACAAGACAGAACATACAAGACAGAACATACAATATGATATATACAAACTGATATATACTCCAGTAATTATAGTAAATCGCATCTTTCTTCATGTTTACCTACAGTTCTGCTGAAGCAGAGAAAGATTTCCTGCCAGCAAGAACGACCTTACGATGACATCTTCATCTGGCTGAGACGGCGTATACAGTAATGCAGTGACAGCAGCAAAGTCGCGGGTTTTATAGCTGTCATGTCTAACTGCAATTTGATTATGGTTATCCTAGCTACGAGTCATAGTTAACTGTTCATGTTAATGATTAAATTTGATTATGGTTATCCTAGCTACGAGTCATAGTTAACTGTTCATGTTAATAATTAAATTTTATTACGCATTTTACGGTGCAAAAATGTGTAGTGGAAATAATATTGTGTGTGATAATGTTTTGAATGCAATTTCTACCCGGTTCACGAGTTTATATGAATAATGTTTAGTCCACTTGAAACATAACAATCAACTTGTCTATTTTTATGCAATTAAGTCTCTTTTTTATTAAATATGCATCACAAAAGTATAATTGATTGACATGTGTGGCTTATTCTTACACACAAATTGTTATATATATGACTTGGCCAATAATTCCAATTATACTTTTAGGCCATAATTCATCATAATTTAGGAAAGGCTGGCTTAACTTATATGATGATTTTTTATCTTATATTTGTGGTTAATATAGATAAATATTAATAAAGTGTGTATTATATTTGTGGTTAATATTTTAATAATAGTAAAGTATTTTATATTAATTTATACTCTATGTTCGTACATTAATGTTAGTTGTCGTTTTCACTGCCGCATGCAACAAATTTGCCATATATCCCGTAGACTGGGTTTATTTTAGTTTCTTGTAGGTTGGCCAACTATATATAGCTGACGAATTCACTGTCCATATGAGCTTACAGTGTGTTAGTTCTTCAGTCACCTTAAACAGTAAAAGAAAAAGAAAAAGAAACATTCTGAATAAAGTAAAGTTCGATACTAATCGATATTTACACCCTTTCTTTCCCACCAGTGCACGTCATGAGAACATTATACATATATAGAATACAGGAGTCTGTCAATACAGTGTAGCCCCGTTGTAACGCGATGGTTTGGGTCCATGATAAAATGTGATCGCGAAAAAAGCGGGGTCGCACTCTATCGGGCTATTTATACGTGGTTATATAAGAGCAAAAAAAGGAGGTCCAACGACTCGTCGCGTTATGTCCGAATTAGCGTTAAATCGGGGTTACATATAGTATGCATATACTTGATATTACCTGTCTGATGTTCAGCGATTAATTGTTCCTCGCAATTAAGCTGCAATTAAATGTATTCAACATTTGATATATAACGGAGATTCAACAACTTTGCCTTTGCTATGCTCGGTCATAGGCAAGTTATGAACGCAAGTAGCAAAAAAACGCGAAGCTATAAGAATAAAATTATAATAATAAAAATCTTCAAAACTGAAAGCAATGCTAGGAACGTTTCTTCAATGGAATGCGGATGCAATCAATCGATGAATCGATAGAACTCACGAACTGTACTTACAGAAGTCATAGGCGGTATTAAGCGTCTGTTTGCTTCCTCAATCTCCATCACTTTTTCCTGTAGCAGTGTGATCGAGGTTTCTTGATGTCGACTGTATGCTTCTACAGCCTTTTCAATGGACAACAACCCTTCAAACTGGCATTGGATGTGTTGCAGTGTCAATACTTGTCTCATCCAAACCTACATACATACACACGTACACGTAACCAACACGAAGTTTAGAACACGAATTAGAAATTACGATGACGTTTTCATTTGCTGAACAGCCGCAAAAATTATGTTACGTATAATTACGTTCGCTTCTCGCTACGTCGCAAGACGCTCCTACGTCGCAAGAAGCTCCTACGTCGCAAGAAGCTCCTACGACGCAAGAAGCTCCTACGTCGCAAGAAGCTCCTACGAC